ATTTTCAGCCCGAAGGTGATCTCATAAGGATAAACCCCGGTGTTTATCCGCCCCGGTGAAAAGCCAGCGCGACAAAACCCCGGTGGGCTGTTCCCCGGGTAGGTCGTGACTTTGCTGGTGGTGATTTGTCCCCTCTAGAAACTTGGATGGCTTCTACGGTGAGCCTGGGCAGAGAGACGTTGTTGGAAGATGGACTGCCGCCTGCAAAAAAGCCCAGGTAAATTTAACTTAGCAGCGAATTTCTGCTTAATCAGAGCGTTTCCCCGGCACCTTGCGTCCTTCTTTGCGGGGCGTGACGCTTGGCCCCGAGCCCCAGCGGTCGTTTCGGCCGCTGAGCCGAGAAAAACGCGCTGGCTCCGGCCCTCTCCTGGGTTTTCCTGGAACAAAGGCCTTCGTGCCCACCGCATCCCTCGCTGCTGGGGTTTGGATTAACCCCCGGCACACCCAGTTGCCTGGAAAGCTGGGGTTCCCTGCGCTGCCCCCCCTGGTTCTAGCTCGGGTCCTCTCCACGCGTAGGTCGTGCTTCTTCGCGTGGGTCCCGGGAGGATGGGCGATTCCTCCCGTTAGGATGGTTTCGCTGCACGTAAGGGATGACTAATTCCCCTTTGGAGGCTCCCTGAGCTCATAAAGAGGTTGTCTGACGGTCCTCCAAGCGGGGACCGGAGCGTGACGCCGATTTGGGGGCGTATCCACCCTCCTTTCCATCCAGGCTTGGTGCCGGGGCTGCTGCGGCACCACGGGCTCAGAAACTGAGGCATCACCATCCGCGAACGTGCAGCTCATTCCTCCGGGGAGTCGTCTGCCACGAATCTGATTTATTTCCGAGTTAGGAAGGCGGGAGAATAGTTTCTGGGAGGGCGCCCTGGTCGCCAGGTTGGTCTGGCGACCGTGGGACGAGCAGCAAAGAGGCTGGGAGCTTGTTTTTATCCTTGCTGGGGATATCAGGGTAGAAATAAGCGTCTCTGTCAGCGTGGGAGCAGAATGCCTCTCCCAGGGGTGTTGCACAGGGTGATGACTTGTTATTATTTTGGATTTCAGTCCCTAGGTTTCTGGTTGGGGTTTTATAGTAGCTCGTTAGTAAGAGTACTAATTGATTCATTGCCAGTGAGGCTTGCAGTCCCCAAATTCAACCCCACTGACAGCGAAGAGCTCCTCGAGGAAAGGGTTCACTCGTCCCTTGCCGTGGCGGAGGGAAGGCGAAGCTCCATCCGTGGGGTGTTGGTTGCCTTTCCCCTTCGTGCTCAGTATCCCGTGTTTGCAGATAAAAACCATCCGAACGAGCTGCCTCCCCCCCCCCAC